GCTCATTTGAGTAGCATATTCAACGCCTCCATAAAAGCCAGCTCCTAATTGGGAGTTCAGTTTCCCATAAATGCATTCTTTCCCAACAAAGCCCACAATAAAAGTTCCCATAGGCAGCAAATTGTGCGTCCGCTTGCCTTATTTCTGAACTGTATGTACATATTTTTTATTCAATCAAACGGCAGCTAAAAATAAAACCGCAACAGCAACAGCAACAACAACAAAATCCACAACTCAATGCAAAGATTAACTAGCTGCCACATTTATATGTTTACACATGTACCCATGTACATACATATAAGTATGCATATTTCCATACATATGATTGGAGAAGTGGTGAATGCGCTCGGCGGCGGCGGCGCATGGACGCGTATGCCAGGCGGCAGCCGAAAAGACAAAGGAAGCCAAAATATTCACGTACGAAACGTGCACGCCAAGTTTCACATGGCCCACAATTTGTGCTTGGTCTGCTACCGGTAGGCCAACAGGCCGGCTGGTCGGTCGTCTGGCTGCGTCTGCGTCTGCGTTTTGAGGTTAAGGTTGCCGATCAGAAGAAGTAAAAATAAAAATAAGTGCAATAAAAAAAGCGGCTTTGCGCTGCAGCGTCTTATTGATTTCTTTCGCATCGCACATTTGCTGCTGCCTTCTCACACTTTTTGTAAGGGGAGTGCTCTATGAAAAAAATAGTACGAAAAAAAGGGCAACTGTTTAATGAGATCTTCGAGGCTGTGCCAGCGTTTGTGTGTGTGTGTGTGTGTGTGTGTGTGTGTGTGTGTGTGTGTGTGTGTGTTTGTGTGTGTGTGTGTGTGCGTGCGTGTGAGTGGCATTATGCGTGATGAATTTTATGCATGCCTTTGAATCCTTTGCGTATTTTAATGTGTAAATCGTGCGTTGAACGTTTGCAAATGAGAAACGAAATATTATGTTCCAATAATTGTAGGATACGGCAGTGGTTGAATATGAATATCAACGCCACCTGTGGGCATACAGCTCGAAAGCTTGAAAATTTATCGTTTATACTAGATTCCCAGCTGGAAAGCTAGGATATAACACAGTACCCCCCGCTAGGCATGGCGTTCAAAAAACCACGATTTTCTCTCTTAAATGATGCAGGCTAGAAATGTTTATTTTTTATTAGTTATTGATTAAAGCAAAGCTTCGTGAAGGCTCTCAACGAAAGCTTGACATCGAGAAGCAATGAATGTCCAGTAAATACTTTAAGACGCGACCCATATTTCCGCATTTTACCAACTACCTAAACATCTTCAACCACCGACTCTGGCGCTACTTTTTTACCTCTTTTGCCTTAGGGTGGCTGAAAGTGTAAGCAATTCTGACATATGTACACCGCAGCCAGTTTAGCCACTTATCAGACTGTGTGAAACATACCAGCTAGCGGTTGAGATCGGATTCTGATCTATAATTTTATCCAGAATTTCCTCGTTGCTGAGCTTGAGTTGCTTTCAAGAGGCGGGCGTGCAGATTAGAGATGGGCACCGAACTAAATTCTCAATCCCGAACCCGCCCATCCCGAAATCCAACTTTTAAGTCCCGAAACCGTCAATTCCGACGTTTTTCAGAATTTTACCGTCGGTCCCGTAGGTCCTGAAATCTAGCACTAAGAAAAATTCAAATGTCTTAATTTAATTTTAAATAATATAAAAAAATAATGGCATCTTCCTATTACTTTGGTTTGCTTCGCTGTTCGTTTTCGTCTCAATAAATCATAAAAAGGGACTTATTTATGAATTCGCGGAGGTTTCAACTTTTATCGGGAGTGTCGGGAAAGGATAGGTACCGCCACGCCACAAGATTTGTAAAGACCTTTGGAATCAGTAACGCGGGTTCAGCGGGTCTCGATATCTCGCGCCCATTTCTAGTTCAGACCACACTTGATCTTATTGCTTTGGAAATTCATCTATAGACTCGTCGTTGTCTCAAAATATGCGCTGAGGTCAAAAAGCCATCTAACTCGAGAAAGGCTTCTTTTGTACTCCAGCTCAATGCCGACCCAAGAATTTTGAAAATTGGTGGGCATTATCGCCTCTGGTTTGTTGATAGGTTCAACTGGAAGAAAAACCTACTCCTATGCTACTTACCATCCAGTTGGTGGTGGTTGTGTGCGGCTTTCGCTGACTCTATATGCGGCGGGCCAAATTCTTTTGTAACGTTGTCACGCGATGACTGCTCTTCGGAACGAACTCGATTCAGCTTCCTAGTAGCCTTCGGAAGTTTTAGTACCCCTTTCTATGAGTTAAAGTGTGCGAAGCCTAAATGAAAGTCTAATTTGACTCCTTGCACTAGTGTGCTGACTTCTATTAGCCCTGAAGCTTCGGAAAAGATGTCAATAATGCCAGGGATCACTGTGCTACCCGATTCAGAGTCGTGTAGTCGATGCGTCTGACAATGGTCCAGCGGTATCCAGTTCTCTTATGGATATGAAAGATAGATGCCGCTGTCTTCCGATGCGTTTTGTTTAATTGCGGGGAAATCAGCGCTGTGGGGACTCAGTCCGACGGTAACGATTTCTGGGCATGAAAAAGTTCAAATGAATGATTTCTTGAGAGAAATAGAACTCACAGGTAAACGGGAAAAGATAAAAGTCTGCCGCAGTTATCATGAGCCCAATTTTCATTTTTAAAACGCGTTTTTTTCTCAGTGTACCTCGGAGTGGCGTAGATTTGTGGAAAGCAAGTAACAAGCACTGGCCGAGCAGTGGTAGGGAGAGGCCACGAAAAGTGTACTGCCCTCCACATTTTTTGTTTGCGCCGCGCACGGCTGGATATATAGCGAAAATCTTTGTTGACAAACATTTTCGGAAAATTTTTATATTCCATAGTTTAAACAAAAATTCTAACTTGAGTCACACACATATGAATTCATATTTTTCTTGTCTATGTAGTTCTATACTTTTAAAGAAATATTAAGTCAACCTTTGGCACGCTGCAGATCCTAAATCTATACTCATACATAAATACATAAACAATACTACCTAAATTAATAGCTGAACTCGATTACTGCCCAATTTCCTCTTCAAGCGGAACAAAGTAATTGCTGATATTCTTCATTTACCGCCGTTTGACTCGTGCAAAAATTTAAGGATTCCAAAATACTTGTCAGCAAGCGTTCCCTACCTATGCGCCTCTGCCATGCAGCCGCCTCATGCATTTCACACTTTCCCACGCCTAATTTTAATTATTACTGCGACAGCTGTTCCTCGTCTGCAACCCACTGTCGTCAACCCTGCTAGCCTCCTTGGCTACGTCCCATCCTCGGTGATGACTTTACCTTTTGCGATGCTTCTTTTGTTTTCATTTATGAATATGTCGAAATCTTAGGCTTGAATGCGCCTTGCTTCAAAACACAACCCCCATTTTCATGTAGCCGCCAAGCAACCAACCAACCGAGCAATCGACCGATCGTCTGGGTGATCAACCAGTCAGCCGACCCTCCTCCTTTGGTTGACGATGCTGTGCGGCTGCCGAGTTGCGATATGGAAGTCTTAAGGTGCAGCTGTCGATATTCAAACACATCATATGCACATACATACTTACATACGTATATACTTCTGCTAAGTTTTGTGAGCAAAAGAAAGTTTTCTTACCTACCCGATACCCCAATAAAAAAAAAACTTCAAGTGTGTGAGTGTCGCATAGTTTCTGCAGCAATGAAAAGGATAATTCCAAACAACTGTGTAAAAATAAAAATTGTAGACCCTTTATATTAATTATGCAGTTATTTACTTGATAACCTTAAGACCTCAGGCTTAAAAAAAAGTTTTACGAATCTCTTAAGTTTTTAAAATAGTTGCAGAGTTACCGTTATTTATAGTATTCCAAAGTAAAAATGTTTCCCAGGAACTCAATATTCAGCCTTTCTTCTTAAACGCGGTGGCATATCCCAATTCCGCGATGCTAAAGACGCACACATGCACATTAGGGTGTACCATCTTTCTTTAATTTTAAATTCGATATGCATGAACTAGCTCTTCCCTTTAACTTTCGGGACTGGATCAAGTTCTCATAAGATCCGTACCGAGAATTGGCCAGTTTAGGGCCCTTCATAAAGTCCAGTCGCGAGTGGAGTGCTTCGGATATCACAGCGCCAGCTAGAGCATGCTCCATTAAAGCCAGCCACTAAAACCGATGTACCGGTCACCAAGGAGAGAGTTAGGAGGATATTTTCCGACGAAGTCAGTTCTAGATTTCATCACTTAATCGACCAGTGGAGGAAACCTCAGAAACGGCACCAAAAAAAAGAACGAAAAAACTCTGTACTCATAGTCGGACTCGATCCTGTGGTGTATTGGCAAAACCAAGGAAGATCACATGAATCATAGGTGGCAGAAATTAAGTAGACCTTAATTATCAATGGAAGCCGGCCATTTTGTTATGTTATATTATGGGGCATCCTAATGCACATACGCACACATTAGTATGTAAATTTGTTTATGTATATTGCTAACCGCTAAATAGTTTGTATATTAGCTATGACGTTTTTCCAACAAAATAAATCACTTTATTATTTAAGCGGAGGAGTCTACTTAAAACATGTGTATGTATGTATGTATGTTTGTATATAAATGAAAATCCAAAAAAAAAATACATATTTAAATCACTGTGGGCGAGTTGAGTTGAGTGATTTCGCTTTCGTTGCTCTGTATCAATTTATGGACTCATATCCGTCATTTAAATGGAAAGCAAATGGCTATGGATGTAAGTATGTATGCTTGTGTGTATGTCAACCCGCTGATATGGTGATAAAAATTATGACAATGAGGGTAATATTTAATGCAAGCATTCACACGAGCAGGGACACGAACACGCACACGTACACCCACATTCACTCGATTACCGGAAAGTGGCAATACCCAGGAATTTCGGCCCCTTTACACAGCAAGCGGGGTAATGAAGTGACCGCCGCCGCCACCGACGTCGCAGCTTCGATACATTTCACCACATAGTTCACACACTCGACTTTAGTCACAGCCACAGTGGCAGTCAACGCGGTTCCGCAGATGTGGCTACCACAGCGCCAACACTAACTGGCGCACATAAGTACTCGTCTACAGATATGTACGTATGTATGTATGTATGGCTGCGAGCGTCTCCAAAACCAAGAACTTACCTGTGCGCACTTTGACTATCTGTCTTGTTGGCTGACAAAGCGACCGTCTGTCGGACCTAGTGTCTCACGGTTCACACCAGAGCCACCACCACCACCACAACCACCGTCTACGTGTAGCGCTTGTACTGCCGCAGAGCAGAGGAGCTCAAACTCAGGTAATAAATAAGCAAGCGCAGCCGGTTTTTTGGTGAGCGTGAGAAAAAACGTAAAGGAGCTGGCTTGGCGGTTCGTGTGCGAGTCGTGTGTGCACGTCGCTGTCTGGCTTGCTGACTTCGTGCGCCAAGAAAGTCGTCGTATTCGTCGCCATCCTCGTGTGTTGGCAGCATATTCGTAAGCACCGTACTGCTCGTCCGCCAACGAGCGCAAGGATCATGCTGAGTGCGCGCTGTCCTGACGATCAGTATCCTGTTGTAGTTGAACGCGCGTGGTCGTGTGTTGTGCGCGCCGCATAAAAAAAAAACTGCTAAAGCATGCAAGTTATGATTACTTCGAAATGAAATAAAGTATAAAATTACCAAATTATTTAGTACACTGAAGAGGTGTTGCATTAGTATGTGGATGCACAACTGATTGAAAAATACAAGGCAATGCAAATTTTGTGCAATAAAAAACTGAAACAAATAGCGCGGCGCTTAGGTCGCTTGTGTAGACGGAAGACCAAAGTTTCTAATTTAAGTGTTGTGTTTGAAAAAATATTGTTATTGTTTTCCACACGGCGTATATGTGTATGAGTGAATGTGCTAAGAGGTTTTATTAAAAATAAAATAAAATTTATTGCTGCTGAAACGTATTTGGACAACGGAACCGTTAAATTAATTTGAAACTTGTAATATTAATGCTTCAATAATGGATTACAAAAACGATTTTCACTCGGATGATGATTTCGATTGTTCCAACGGCTATAACGACTGCTATAACGGTACAAATGGCAGCGGACAGGCACAAATGTCAAATTCGCATGGCCTCTCGAAGGCCGAACTGAGAAAGGTTTGTAAGGTTTTTGGAAGCTTAAAAAACGTTTTTTCGAAATTCATTGAAAACTTTAACCGTAAAATTAATAAAATAGAATTATGTTTTACAAATGAAAAAAACATATATATAAAGCTGCCCTTACAATGCTTTTCGAATATACATATGTATTCTATTTTGCTTTTGCGATTAAGAACATTAGTACAAGTATTAAAACTGGTTACAAAATTGTTTGAGACTTTTTTCGAAACAAGTGTAGCTCTGCTTTTTTGCTTATTTTTTCTTGTGAAATGTACATGCATTTTTTTCTTGACAGAATTTCAAACAGTCAATAATTTAATACAAGATATAAGCTAATAGTTACTTAGCATAAATTTAAATTCAATCAGCTGCGATCATTTAAAAACTTTGTGTTTGTTTATAAAAAAAATTCTTAAAAAATCGGACCCGAAATTATTGTTTTAAACGATATTTTTATATTTCTACATGTTTTCAATACAAAAAATTTTGGTGTTCTTTGAAATTGAAAAGCTCTACAAAATGCTCAAAAAAATTAAAAAATATTTACTTAACTGTCAACATTTCTGCAAGAAATTCCCAGGCTCGAATTTTCCAGCTTTTCGAGTTTAAGAAATTATCTAATAAATTTAATACATATTTCACTCAAATTGAGTTGAACAAATTTAAATTCATTTAAAAAACATTTAAAATTAATAAAAACTCAGTAATAAATTGTTACGAACTAAAACTACCTACATACATACATATTTCGAATTTTTTTTCTAAACATTTTTTCATGTTCGAAAGTGAGTTTCAATAATTACGAGGGCAGGTTGACACTTTTCTTCCAAAAAAGATATACTTTTTAACATGTATATGTACATGGTCTGCTCTTAGCTCGATAAATTTACAGGGCAACTGTATCTCACCACAATCTTTCAGTAAGGCAATTCTCAATTCTGGCAACTATCTGGAAAGCTCTTTTCTACTAATTGAAAGTTCTGCTAACGAGAAGGTCTTACAGTTTTTCTGTTCGTCTCTTAGAAATTCGTGTTCTAAAACTTAAATGAACTAAAAAATATATGATTTCCTTTTTAAAACAATAAAAACTAACTATTAAGAAAATTTAGTTAAACAAATTTAATCAAAACAAGTAAGAAAGTCTAAGTTCGGGCGGAGCCGAACATTAAATACCCGGCGCAATTATTAAATATATGTTTTCCACCTTTCCGAAAACTACCGCTACACGATAAGCCGGGGTGTATAAATTTTTAGTAAATTAGCGTCCTTAANATTGGTGCAGCGGTTACCAAGATATACACATGTAACCATAAGTGGGCGTGGCTACGCCCATTTTCCAAAAATTTATAATATTCATGATTTTCGTCTAAAACTCATTGTAAATATCAATTTTGAGTGAATTATCTTCAGTAGTTACTAAAATATCGCAGTTTTCGTATTTCTTAAAATTACCGTTATATGGGAGGTAGGCGTGGTTATTATCCGATTTCGCCCATTTTCAATACCATCCGTCCCACGCCCAAAAGAAGTTCACGTACCAAGTTTCGTTAAGATATCTCAATTTTTACTCGAGTTATCGTGTGCACAGACGGACGGACAGACGGACGGACGGACGGACGGACAGACAGTCACCGCTTAATCGATTTCTCTTTTCATTCTGATCATTTATGTATACATTTGTCTATATCTATCTCGATTCGTTTTGCCTGTTACAAACAACCGTTATGTGAACAAAGTTATAATACCCTTGTGCACAAGTGCGCTCGGGTATAAAAAAGACAAAAAATAGAAAAGTGGGTTTCTAAAAATTAAATTAAATGAAGAAGATATTAATATGAATTTTATTTTTTTTTATTTAATTTTCTTTTAGTTTTTAGATTATATTTTATTTTTTCAGTTTTGGGAACTTATTTTCAAATTTTATTTTATTTTTTTTAATAAAAGTTTTTAAAAACAAAATGAAAACAAAAATATTTATTTTTCTTTCTAAGCAATGATATCAAAAAATTTAATTAAAAGATAAAAAATGTATGTTTGTTTCAAAACACTAAACCCTAGATATTAATATAAAATTAAATTAAAAGGAAACATAAATTAAACAACTTGCTAAAAATTAAATGAAATTAAAAAAATTATGTTTGCTTTCAAAATATTAAAATCTAAAATTTTAAAGAAAATTAAATAAAATAAATTAAGTTTGAAAAAGTTAAATGTTTCCTCTCGATAAAACATTTAAAAAAGAAAAAATGTAATTAAAAAATTAAATAAGTTTCTAAAAGTTAAATGAAATCAATAAAAAATAATTACATTTTTCTTTTTAAAACAATAAAATAAAAAATTTAAAAGTAAATTAAACTAAAAAGGGAATCTCTTGAGTGGCGCTCCAGTGGTTTGCTCTCTCGGCCATTTCGGCTGTTGGAGCAGCGCGAGCAAAATGATATGCACACAAGTGCTTTTTGTCAAAGAGCTTTTCACCGTGAAAGTTGGAAATGGAGTTTTATTTGTAAGAACTTCGTGCCAGAACAAACAAAGCTTTCAAACTAACTTGTTTTCTGTCTTTCAATTGTCTCACAAAAAATTTTCAACTATTTCAGCCAGAATCGCTCTGTTAGTCTAGTTATTTCCAATTATTTAACTTTCCGCTCCTAACATGAATTTTATAACACGGTTACTGTCATCGATCCCTCAGACCGAAGTGCAGAGAATGTTAATTTCTTTACATTAAATATATGTGTAGTAAAATAAACATAACAAAACCAAATAGCAGAATTTCATTAAACAATACATTCTAAAAAAACACGTTCGAGTAAAGTAATTAATTTTTGAATAAGTCAATAAATTTAATTTTAAATTAAAATTTTTTGTATTGATATGATTCATTCTCGGCTTGAAATAGATAACTTTGCTCCAAACACAGGAACCTGCCACACTCAAAACATATACTAACATCGGTCTCACAGACCGAATCACTGACAAAAGGGATAAAACTCAAGATAGCAGCGACCAATCTACACTGGCATCAACAAGATCACTGATCAACCGAGAGGTATACAAAGAAAACAAGTTCAAAAAGCTCAACTCTGTTGTACAGAAAGCTTTAAGAATGTGTTCGGTCTGTGAGACAGCATGTTAGTAACGGAAGGTCGATCGCATCCAATTATTAGGTTTCATCAAGGTCCTAAGTAGACATAGTGATCAGGAGAGAATACCTTGGATGTGGGATTATAAAGGAAATTAACTTTTTCCCATTTTCGGTTGTCTGCTTTCAACGACTGTCAAAGACAAAGCCTACGTAGTTTATAAATTTTACCTTTTACACTGTTTTTTGAAGAAATTATATTTATTGCTCTACAACACATCAATCTTTAATCTCAATGAATAGACATGCTTCTCACTTTTGAATCAAAATTTTTTTGCAGACTAATAAACCAATTATGGAGAAGCGACGGCGTGCGCGTATAAATCACTGCCTCAACGAGCTCAAATCACTCATATTGGAAGCAATGAAGAAGGACGTAAGTAAAATGTGATACAAAAAAATGTTGTACGTATAGTCCCAACGCAGAGTTAATCTTAAGCTCCAGCTTTATCTTTATTGTTATCTTGCTTTTAATGCATTTTTTCTATTTATCTTTATGTTCAGTTTAGTCCTTATCTTTATCTTTATCTATATCTTTACCTTTATCTTCATTTCACCTTCATCCTTATCATCTTCACCTTCTCCTTATTCTCAATCAAAATTTTTGTCTGTAATTTTATATTTATCTTTGTCTTGGTCTATATCTCTGCCGTCATTATTATTTTTGTATGTAGTTGTCTATATGTATCCTTGCTTTTGCCTTTGTCTCTCCCCGAACACAGTTTCTCTGTAGGCCTTCGCCATATACAACATGCAACCGCAAACCTCTCCGAACTTATCACCTTACATGAAATCGCCTTTGATTTTTTAATTCGACGGAGACTACAATATCAAAAGAGTTATTTTTTTTAATGTGCGTCTTGATGTCATTATGTATACAAATGGAAAGACCTACAGTTCTACGTCGATATTGTATTTTATATGTCATTGCCTGCTGAGGGGCGGGCATACCAAATATTCGCATAACAAGTAATTTTTAGCAAAAAAAACCGATTTCAACTCTCATATAAAAAATATATATATATATATCTCATGATCCGCTGATCGGATCTTAACCAGACCGGGACCACCTCTGAGACACTACCTTTCCGATGCAAAAAGAATTATCGAAATCGGTTGACGTGGTCCAAAGTTATGCGGGAACATACATAAAAAAAAAAACAAAACAAAAATAAAAAAAATAAAAATATTCCGACGAACTGATAACCTCCTCCTTTTTTGGAAGTCGGTTAAAAACCCATTTGCCATCCGCAGTTGGCGTAAAACTGTAGTTTTCTTAAGTTTTGTGATATCATCAAGCACACAGTTTCTTCCGCAGTCACGCCCCTTTTAGATCGTCAACATGTGTATTATTTTTTTTTCATATTTACCGCTACTTTTTACTATGCTCTTATCTTTTGATTTACTTTAATAACTACATATTAAACAGCGTTGATTCGATTATTTCGATATTGTTTATGCCTTGAAAAGTCAGCCGATCGTCAGCCGGCGGTCCAACGTGTAAAGATCAATGGAGATCACCAATGACAAAAAAAAACTTTATTATACACAAATGATTTATTCTGAAAACTGTAACTTAGATTTGAAATCAAACGTACAACTCATCATACATTAATAAAGCAATTCATGAGCAATTAATAAAGTTGTTTACTCAATTGATTCTCAAAATAAACGAAATGCGATTAAATGCCACTATATATTTCAAAACTATTTGAGGGAGCTGTTTCATCCGAGCTCCGCAAAATCAAAGCATTATTTCTGCTCATTCATTTCGTGATATTCCCAGGAACCTGTGTTCCATTAGATACCAATGTTTTAGTTTAATTTATGACTACAAAAAAAGGTATCAAACTACAGAAATCAATTACTAAGCGGCGTCAAATTTCAATAGAATCAATTACAAAGCAAAAACATGACAAGATCAAGTGCCTCGCACACTAATGCTGGCCAACACAACTCGCTGCCACTCGAGGGTCCTGTGGTGCGCCACGTAAGTGAACAATTATGTATGTACTTACTACATATGTACATACATACATATACACATATAGCTAAGTATTTATGTACATAAGTAATATATTCAAGTAGAAAAAACCCTTGTTTTCTTTTTTTCATAAACAATTAAATTGAGTGTAAAATTCCTCAAAATACACCGTAAAATAAAAAAGAGTGAATTCAAGAAAAAAAGAATGGCTCAGCAAAAAAATGCATGTCCTTTGAAAGTGTTAAACAAGCCGCCAGTGGCAGTAGCGGCGCTGATAAAAGCAAGCGATCGTCAATGATTAAATCACTTGTTACAGGCTAAAGGGCAATATGAGAAAATTGCGAGGCCGACGAGCGAGGAACAAGTGAGTGAGTGGGAACCTGTTTCGGGCCAATGCAATGGTAAACAAAAGCGAAAATGAACAACAAAAAAATTCAAACAAAGTCTATATGCTGTATGACGCAAATAAAAAAATAAATAAAAAAAAATACTCAAAAAAAAGAATTAAAATGAAGTGATCCTGCTGCGCGCTCCTTACCTTTGCACGTATGTATGTAGGTGCCTGAGTGTGAGAAAAAAACGCCAACAACAAGGCAACGCACAAGCATTGAGCTTAATACTGACAACAAAACACAATGATGATGTTAATAATTATGAATCTCGGCAAATTTAGTTGAGGGCGAACTTGAATTCGACTGCTGCGTCTGCGGAGATCATTATGAGGCACTTGATCGTGAATAAGATCGAGGCTAGCGGCGGTGACGGTGACGGTGACGGCGGCGCTCTGTGCCAGACCACAGGAAAAAAGGAGTAGCCAAAGCAAATAATAAAAGCAACAGCAACAACTAAACAAAGCCGAAGGTAAACGTGTTGCGTGGGAAACTTGGCCAGTATGGTGCTGGCGACTTGTGAATCAGCGTGAATCAGCAAAAATAAAAATAAAAATAAATTTGCAAAAAACTGAGCAGCTAAACAAAATTGCCAAAGATGCGCAAAGGCGGACGATGTTGTTGATGAAATTTAAAATAGAATGCATGTTTGCATGTGTATCGATCAGCATGCTACTTGCCAGTGGATCACTCGAAGCGCACATATGTATATACATACTATGTGAGCGAGAAGAGCCCACAGCAAACCACAGAAGAATTGCACTTTGCCAAGCTATGGCATTTTGCATGAAAGCCTCGCGCCCGTTGCAACGAGTTGGCAAAGGCAACCAGACTAACCATAGGTGAAACATGCTTGTATGTGTGCATGTGTGTGTTAGCTGATCTGCCACCGACAACAAGTAGCTTCACACTCCACTTGGCTGTGCCTTGGTTCGTAGTTATCCCAACCTTGCTTAAGTTCTCAGCATCTTAGCTGATCGCCAATTTTTTTTCTTTTTTGTTTTTTTTTTGCGTATGTAACACTGTCTGTCACGATCGTGTGCCGATCATCAGCGATCACCTATTCTTCATGCCGTGAAATGCAAAGAAAAAGAACAAGGGAGTCCGTAAGCTCAGTAGCCGTGGTCGCCAATTGGAAATGACTGTGATTGCAGTACAATATGAATTTGTACAGTAAAACTTCGATGTAATGAACTTTGATATAACAAAAAACCCTAAGTAACTCGAAGCATATCTACCAAAATAAAAGTGAAGCTCACCCACATTAACCGCTATATACTCAGACTCAAGTTGTTGATGAGGGCGTCTGTTTTGAAGTAATGAGTAAAGATTCGACAGTATAAAAGCCCGGGCTCGGTACTCGGCTTAAGCTAGCACTCAGCCTAAGGGAACTCAATAATAAAGTGCCTCTTCAACAAAGGCACTGGTGGCGCCCTATCCTGTAGCATTTAATAGACACTAACGTATGGACCTTTGCCTCTAGCAATTACCGCTTCACTCCACACTTTATCATATCAGCACCCATTTATTTTAAACACGCAAGTGACCTCTAGTGTCTCCTCGTGGATAAAGATACATATTAAGTGACGATAGGTTTACCAGTGCATCCAGAGGAGCCTCAGGTTTTGTAGAAAAAGCTCCCGTACATCACACGGCGATCGTTCTTTGAAGTTTAGTAAGCTACTTTCCCACGCTTTTGATTGAGACAGATTCATAGCCAATGGATAGGTTTGAGAATTTATAGAACTCCTGTAGGTGGCAGAGCCTATGACTCAAAAAAGACTTGCTCACGATCCTAGAATGCTGTTAAGGCTTTTGAAAGTCTTTTTTGCAACGTAAGACATTATCTGCATTGGTCTGGGCGTCGACATCACCGGCGTTATGTTTGAAAAGTAGGTGTACGTTATATCGCGCGTTTACTGTACTTCTAAATACCTCCACATATCTGTTGGTGTAAGAGATATCAAGCTCGCTGCTGGACCTGTTGCACTACACTGCTTCCTCATTTAGACTCCCCGCCCTTTCACGTAATTATTTTTGTTTTATTTTATTCTACTTAGCTCTGCGGTTTGCAATGTTTTTGTTACCTTGAAATTTGTGGTGGAATTTTTCATACAAATTGCAATCAATTAGAAGCTGCATGATAAAGACGAAGGCAGATGCAAACACAACAAAAACAAAAATAAAAAAGCTGGGAAGCTAAAAATCCTGAAAGTGGCGCAACTTCAAAGGCATTTTCTGCATTTCACGAAAATGTGCGAAATATTTTTAGGCATAGCTGAGCCTTTCCTCAGAATTAAACGAAGTGATTGTACGTTTTTATTGAACTTCCGTTGCGCTATAAGTCTAAGCCGGCTAGTTTTTAACAGCTTCGCGCACGTTCTTTGTTTTATTTCAGCAAAATAGTCTCGGTTGTCCTTTTTTTTCATTTAAGCCCTATCCTTGAACGGTACTTAGCCCAGTGGTTATTGTGCGCAATTTGCTTAATACTCTATTCAATTTGACTTTGTCGCTAATATCGTCTTTTACCTGCATCTTCACACCGAATACTAACGAAGTTTTCTTCTTTCCTCTTCAGCCCGCTCGCCATACCAAACTGGAGAAGGCGGACATACTGGAAATGACCGTCAAGCATTTGCAATCAGTGCAGCGTCAACAACTCAACATGGCCATCCAAACAGATCCCACCGTGGTTCACAAGTTCAAGACTGGCTTCATTGAGTGCGCCGAGGAGGTCAATCGCTACATCAACCAGCTGGATGGTGTTGATGCAGTGGTGCGACAGCGACTCATCAACCATTTGAACAGTTGCGCCAGCAACCTCGAGCAATTGGGTTCTATGACAAACTTCAATAATGGCTACCGCGGCCAGTTAGCCATGGGCATGTCGGCGCCAGGCGGTTTGTTCGGCGCTGCGTTGCCTGCCAATCCGCTTTCGATGGCCAGCGCCACTGCACCCAGTGCGCTTTTTCCGCCGTTGCCACAGGATTTGAACAACAATAGCAACAATGGTGGCGCCTTTGTCAATAGTCTCAATGCCGCAGCGGCGCCCTTGCCGCCAGTGCAAATGGGCGGCGTACAATTGATACCGTCGCGCTTGCCATCCGGCGAATTCGCGCTAATTATGCCTAGCACGCATGCAAATTTGCTGAATACCAGTAACCACAACAACAGCAACCCACCATTTTCCAGCTTCCCGCATGGCAGAAATCCGGCTGCAGTAATATCGCCCGTCGCTACCGCAACAGCGACCACAGCTACGGCGCCTGTGCTGAGCCTGCCTCCCGCATCTGTGCCCATCAATGACTTTGCCGCCAATTACAAGCGATTGAGCGCTTTCGGCCGTCTACCCACAGCGCCGACGCAGTTGCCATTGAATCAGGCGGTACATAGTGGTGCTCCCAACAGCAGCAACTGCCACCCGAGTAGCAACGGCGCGTTGGTAACTGCAGCCGCTCCGCAAAGCCAACAGCAACAACTGCCGGCACGTACTGCGCCTGCTCACCATCAGCTGCATCACAACAGCTCCATGGCCACAAATAGTCCGCCGCTGAGTCCCATCTCGTCCGCCTCCCCTTCCAGCCAAGGCGATGATTCGCTGATGCACACCAGTTCCGACTTCACCGGTTCACGTCCGGCCACACCACCGCTTGATGTCACCGGCGACTTTGACCAGCAGCAGCACAACTTCTCCGGTGTATTTTCCACGCCATCCAGTGCCGAGTCGTCGCTCACCACCAGCTCAACGTCTACGCTTGCTTCATCGGCCCGCCTGTCATTGCACCTGCAGCAGCAGCAAGTGTCTTCGACCAGCGGCAATGCCAGTAGCAGTTGCAATACCAGCACCAACAGCGGCAACAACAACACCAACAACGATTGCAGCGATAGTGGCATCGAATTGAATGTCTCTCTGAAGCGACCGCTTGACGACGAAGCGGACTCTAGCGATGCGAGCGAGGCGCCAGCAAGCAAGAAAATCGCTTTGGAGTCGAAAAATCGAGAGGATGAAGCGTCGAAGTTGGGACAAGTTGAGGAGCAGCAACAATTTTTAGTCAAACAGAAACACCGGTTGCAGGAGCTGAAGGAAGATAGCGACAATATGTGGCGACCCTGGTAATACTCCGGGCTGGTCGACTTTGCCGCGCGCAAAGTGCGATTTAGAGATGAAGAGAGGGTGCTGTAAAAATTAAGGTGCATGGCATTGGATTATCGGTGAACAATGATGGCGACTATTTGTAGCGAATAGTTGGTTCGTCCATTGATGCTGATGCTTTTTATTTATTTGAGTGTAACAATGCCATGTTCTCTGTTCGCTATAAAAAGCTTTGAATACTCCTGTGCTTTATGTTGAATAATAATATTCGTAGAAGTGGAACATTTCATACTCGCATTTTAGTTTAAAAGAGCATTTTCTATATTTTGTAAAAATACGTAGCTTTTAAGTGTAAAATCGCGCTTTATTAAGAAATACACATGTTACTCTTTTTATTTACATAAATAGTTATTTAGGTTTTGTAAGCATTTGATTTGGAGGCGTTAAAAATTTTTTAAAACATTTGTTCTTATTAAATTTTTCAACTAATTTTCATTATTATTATTATTATTTTTTTACCTTTGAAAATGTTGCAAATAGATGCATAATTACTAGTACTTGTAGTGGATTTTTGAAAATTAAGAATTCAATGCACTTGGAAAAATGTTTAGTTTACGAAACCAAATGCAACATATTTTTTATTATAGCACTAAAAAAAATTCTCGCTGTTTGTATAACTAATTAAGTCATGTGTTTGTAAAAATATTTACTAATAACCTAAAAATATGCAAAGAGAAATTAGTCTAGTTCTATAGTAGCTCAATCAGCGTGAGCTGCAGCAAAGTCATACAAATACTTAAGTAGACTTTTAGGATATTATCGTGATCATATTTTAAGTCGCTATTTTAGTTCTATAACAAAAATGCTGGTGTACGAAAGAACTCTTTCTGTTTCAAATTATTTTAATGTGAAGGTCCGATAGTTGCTAGCAAACTACTGAGGAAATTGTGAAATAAATAAATTTTAATAAAGGAAGTTGAATATTGTGTAAAAAGAAGTTAATAATAAAAGCACGAATGATGTTTTTTTTCCAAAGAAATCTTTATTAAATTTGATAGATATTTTTTGCAACCCACTAAAGCATTTAACAAAGATTCAATCGCTAAGATATCTACGAGCTATTATGGACAAAAATCTGCCGAGGAGATGGAATGTCGAGGTTTTGAACCCTCACATATCTACGAGCTTTCTAAGAGCCATTACCGACAGTAAGCTAACGAGGAGATGGAATGTGGTGGAATGTGGGGAGAAGTTACGAGATCTTATAATGCTTTCTAGGCGGGCGAGAGAATTCTCGGGATAGCATGGGGAGTTTCGCCTCGACTACTACATTTAAATTTCATATTTAGCTACTATAAGACTCATCATGCTCTATGGCACCCTAGTCCGGAGGACGTGTACAAGGCCGGTAAAATCGAAGTGGGTTTACCAAAGCATCCTCCCTTCCTACAGTGACCAAAGGCACCTCGCGAGTTGATTAGCACATCTCTTACGTGGGTTGCTGGAATAAGAGTCGAGTAAGGAAATGTAACTGTAATTTCATACCAGAAAGTCCCACCTTTGCACTTCGAAGGAATGTGAGACATTCTCCTTAACTAGGTAGCAAAACATTAACCCCCTCTGGCATCTACATTTGAGCCATCGAAAACTCAATATGGACTTACTGAGCGTTGACGTGGCGAGCAAGAAGACTGTTATCAGTCAGTTAAAAAGTGTGCAAAGATTGGCATTCTTTTAAATATATACCAAACCCGATATACATATATGGTAGCAGAAAAATCTGCGCTAAGATTAAAAAGGTATGGGCAACAGCAATACAAAGAAAATGAACATTAATTCAGCCAATGTCATTCCTTTGTCTAAATACCATAAGGTCCCAAAAGCATCAATAGAACACGAGGGTAGAATAGGGGACTACAGCTCAGGAACCGCATCTACAATTTTGTCACCAATGGTCGAAGGCTTCCAAGCCCTCTATGGCAATAGGCGCAGCAAAACCAGCGGCTGCTTTAACTCCACCGTGTGCCTGAGTGAGAGTTTTCATTAATTGTCAATCCGAATAAAAGCAGTGCCGACTGTGACGACTAGCGCTCTCTGTATTCAGGTAGCGAGCAACATTAGACGATTTTCTTCGCTCACAGACTCCTACCTAGATTCAGGGTACCAAAAAAATAGTAGGACGCAGATTCTACTCGTATGAGAAAATGTAACATTGTGTGGAACTGCCTAACTTAGCTCTACTCATACACGCAAAAAATATCAAGTGTCTTCTTATTAGTGAGAGCCCTTCTCTTACTACCACACAATCGACAAAATAAGACTGTAGGAAAATGATAAGCGCAGGGCGATGTTTAATATTTTACGGCATACGATTTCAAAAAATATATACAAAGTCACTCCAATTATTATTTGAACAGTAAAGAACTTATTTAATCAATCTCTAGGCAATGACTTTTCATTAAAAAAAAAATCCATTTGTACAATATATTTACTTACATAAGAATTTATATTTTTGTTCATTAGTAGTACCTACTGCATGTTCACATTCTAAGTATACATATTCACAAATATACAGAAGTATGTGTCACGAAATAAAAATAAATATTACTTGTAGCGCCTCTACGCCCACTTCTCCATCAACCAAGTACCTACAGTACTTCATCACTTTGCTCTGATAAACACTTCCAGCCGGAACACACTGTATTGCCGCTCATCCTGCATAGCCGACAAATATGCTCTTAAACATTTTCCTTGAATGTCGAAAGTCCATTCGTTGTTGCGAACTGTCGTCTAATGGTCATTTCTTAATGCTGCTGCACTACGCGCTGCGCACTTACTTTTCATCCTTCGCGTATCCGAAAAGTTTCTTCAGCAAATTATAAATAATCATTTTGTGTGTAACCTCAGCCTCGTATTTCATATACTCGGACATGCGATTCTCCTTGTAGAGTGAATCGAGAAGATCGAAAAGTCGCAACTCCAAGGCGTTCAGCTCTGTCTCCAATTCGGGTGTGTGTGTGCCGGAGAAAAGTGCCTGCATGTAAACGTTGGCCAGCTTGGTCAGTGCCTCGTCCAGTTCGTGCAGTATCGGCTCGTCGGTAGAGTGAGGAAAATCAGTGACAGGATCTTTACGCTGTGATGAAACGTGATATGTGTGCAATGTGGGGGCGTGGTCCGCAGCTAATTCGTGATCGCTGAGCGGTAAAGCGCTCACAGCGCGCAGTGAGATCAGCAGCGCTATCGGCAACAATTGAAACATTTAGATTTTCTGCAAAAGGCGTTTCCGTTAGTGTGCCAAAAGTGTGAGATTTGGTGATTTCAGAAATGCACAAAAATATTTACTACTTGTGCTAATATTAAATCGCGGATAAACGCCTGCCTTCGTACACTGCGTTTGCTTTGCTTTGAATTCACTATAATCGCGTTGGCGGCACGCAATTTTCTTTGCTCGCTTAAGTTGCTTTGTCGCAGCTTCCTGGCGCGCAATGGCTTTTTATAGCAACGCTGATCAAAAGTTGAGCTAATTTTATACGCATGAATAAAACATTTTATTGATAACAGAAGCACAAATATTTATAAATACATACATATGTATATGCATATGTATGTATGTAAATATGTATTGTATAACTCAATTGTATGCAAGGGACTAAAGCGAGTTATGCTCAACTCTTATCGCAATGCGTGCTATTACCACACACGCAACCGCACGCTCACACTCAAAAACGTAATCGTTTGCGCAAAATGGGAATCAAATTATGAATGAAGGCCATTTCCGCACAACACTGTGCGAAAATTAATTGAAAACGACAGTCACAGTGATAGTTTACACTCAGAAAAAAAAACTGATGTCCAAATATTAATTCATAAATTATGCAAATATTCGCTATAGGGATCTCAGACCGGACGTGGTACTAAATAGCAAGACGAAAGGCGTTTCTCAAAACCGGCCGACCTCGGCTCAACTGTCAGAGCTACGGCACCACTGGGCGAACTGAGCGTCCCCTTGGTAGGAGGGTTATTTAGCAGGAATTTTACTGGTCATTTTTGATCTTCTGTGGTAAAAATCTTGACAGATCATACAAAAGCTGATGCAGTATTTTATTTCAATTAGTTGGAAAAGGTACGGGCAAGACTTCGTATGATTAGCATGAGCTCAGAAAATTTTGTGGGGTTTTCTAAGAATTTGGGTCAATACACTTTTGGAGAACGTGTACGATCTTTCCGCATTTTAGTGCCTTAGAATGGACTCCATTAAAAGACTCCCTCTCTCTTAATATTTAATTTACTTAATATTTGGACTTTTCACAAACTGCATACTGATGAAGTCCTGCCTACTACCAAAAGCTATAGCTGTGCCACTAAACAGAGTTGGATTTTTATTTTATTTTTTTAATGAGCTTCGGTTCGTGTGAGAAAATGTGCGATTTAGGGCCGAGGCCAAGATACTCGAAACCTATGGGGAAACATGTGTCTATTTTCCAGACGGAGACATTCGCTATAGACAGAGGCGCGGACTTCAACATCAAGCCAAACTGCCGCAATAGGAACATTGCGAACTTGACTGACGGCCGACAGGCTTTTAAGGCTCTCAGATCTCATAAGGCAACATCGAAATTGGTAATGGAGTGACTTAATAAGCTGAACATTCTTGTGCTGATCAATAGAGTTGTGGCTCTCTGGATTCCGTGGCACATCGGTATTGAAGGAAATGATAAACAGAGCCCTTTTTTATGTTACCAAGGGGGCACACACTGCGACAGGTCTGCTAGATCTAGAGCAATTCAAAGCTCTTAAAGAAACATATAATATAAAGCGTGTTTAAGGTATGCATCAGCAGGCTGAACTATCGCCTGTCTACAGTGGGAACATTCGTGCAGGAGCGATGCAGCTTTCGCTGGACGGACATCGAGATTGCACAGCACATTTTGGAACGGTGGCTTCCAGTGATGCACAAACGCAAAATACACTTAATAGAGTATCTATTAACCGAGGGAGCCGTGAAATCCAGATGTTTAGGCTCAGTACTGCTACTTTCGGGCAAATTAGCGTCCGCACGATTTTCTCCCGGCGACGTCGGGCGTTGCAAACGAAGAGACCTACATATAAAGATTTCGTAGCATTGATTAAAGAAATCGATTTTAGCACCCTTTTCTCCCGTGAACCGGTGTTTTCATGCATTACCAAAAACCGGAAATATATTTTCACGATTTTATAGAACAAAAACTAATCCAGCTGAAAATCGGTTTGAGTTGCTCATCCTTAGTTTAGGTGCTTTGAATTGATGACAAGGATATGCCTGTTCCAAATACTCTTTCGTTCAAGTGCAACATAACGGATTATTTTATAAAAATCTTTATTATGCCTCTTTTTCTTCCTCCAACGACAGTCTTCTTTGTTTCAGCGTGTATTTCTGTATGTTTGTATGCGAGTGTGAACAAATTGTCTTCCGCTTTTAATTAACAAGCGAGTAAACGAACGTGTGGCAGTCGCTCGATTTGCGTGCAGCCACAGTCACGGCAGCGCAATTTCCGGTGCGCTGGGGAAAGCAATATATGTATGTATGTATGTATATACATATTTACATCACTCACAAACTGACGTCGCTCCAAAGCGGAACAAACATCCTCCTTTTCCGTTTATCGCTGANCTATATACATATTTACATCACTCACAAGCTGACGACGTCGCTCCAAAGCGGAACAAACATCCTCCTTTTCCGTTTATCGCTGAGCGTACATATATGCGATCATATGCTTATCTTGAGATCGCGTTCTACTCCCTGCTCGGATTCTGGAATCTTGCTTCACACGTTTATCTTCGCTGTGAACTAAACTAATAACAAAGAATATGCTGAAAATGAAAAAATCTCATAAATGCAAAAAAAAAATACATAAAAACTCATTTCCTTTCACTTCGCTTATCCTTTTCGCGCATCCTTTAACTTGTATTTCGATTCGTAGACTTGCTCAATTCTTAATGCATTGCAGGTGTGTGTGTGTGTGTGTGTATGTGTTTACGCTTGTGTGTGAGCGCGGGCGTGGATCCCCATTTCACTTGTTCATTTTCATTTATACGGAAATATTTCCCACACATATGAACAAACATACATACATATGTATGTAGGCATGTACTTGAAAGTGTTGACGTAGTACTTGGGACTTCATTCCCATTTACCTTTTCGTGATGTTTTTTACTTTCATTGCTTTACGCTTGTTTGCTTGTTTTTTTTTTGTGCGCATATCTCCTTTCAGTGAATCTTTTCAGTTTTTTTTTTTGCTATGATTCGTAGGTCTGCACACTAAGGTGATCCCTCGGCCTGCCAGTTCGCGCTTGGGTAGGATAGACCAATATTTAGATTAGTTATTTAAATTAGTTAAACTTTTTAATGAATTAACTTTCTAGATTATTCCCAATACCTAACAGAGAAGCATTCTGAGTCGCTCGCCAGACACTTCACTCGCTGTGGAAGACTCTGTGCCAGGTTGCTGCCACTGTATTGCTCCGTGAATTATGGCCGCATGTTCTAAGACCGCAATCAAAAAATTGAATAAGACCGCGCGGGCATAATTCATTTGGACAAGCGAAATTAGGCGTCGATAAAAAAATGGAATTTGGCCGTCGAATAAATGAGAAGGCTGCCTTAATTGAAGCGGGTTTAATTTTAAAAGTACTGAGATTTATTCCAGAAAAAATTATGCCAATTATGTGTTTTTAAGTCGGAATCAGGCGAGTCTATCTGAGCGTTCTGAAGTACATAAATATTTTCACTAAGGAAAAGCTCTATCAATCAACCAGTGGAACTTTCCATTGATAAGAAAAATCTAATAAATATATAATTCATATTAAAATGGGTCACCCTAATATACCAACGGCAATAGCGAGTATTATATTACAGTATTGTGTTTTATTGTACACTTGTTCTGCAATAGCACAGTGAACCTACTACATATGAACCAATCTCTTTTGTGAGCTCTCTTCTTCCCCTATCCTGCCACTTGGCTCATTACTTTGGGCACTCCTTAATATTTTTTATAATCAATATGGGATCCCAGTGCATATACATATACATATATACATATGTGTGTATGTAGTTATGTACAGCATTTGTTCTTGTTGTTGTTTTTACTTAGTTATATAGAATGTAGGAGAGTTTTTTATACTCATGAATTTCACACGGTTAACTTCATTGTTTCTTAATTGGCTCTCACCTCTCTAAAACTAAGCCTTCTTCAAGACTTAGTGTATTCCTTTAAATATACGCAGTTTGATTGTGGGAATGTATGCGCATTTTTTCATAAGGAATTCGCATTATTAAAACTGAGTTTTTTTTCGCTTTTATATTGCGTAAGGAAATGTTTTTTTTTTTTTGTAGTGCAGGTTTTTCAAAAATTTACTCGCATGATTTAATTTTTAGCTCTTAACTTTGGTAACTAAAATGTTGCGCTGTTTGCACAGATTTAAATTTATGGCATTGATGGATGGCAGCACAAACTTTAGAAGCTAGCAAGGTCGAACAGGTGTTTTCGCATCAAGCTCTATCGTTGAAGAACCATCGCGAAACTCAAACTCAAGCCAGACATGCTGCTGAAAATGCCTCTCGCCGCTAGAGTGTCTGTCCGCCTAGCTGCGTTGCTCCTGTACCTCACCCACATCCGAGCCAAGTGCTTGCTGAATGTGCATGGCAGCATGGCGGTAATAATGAAATCAGATGGCATCAATCGCATTTGAATGAAAGTTGAATGAAACGGATGAAGTGGAAATGCACTACTTGAATGGCATTTTGTAAGTCCATCATCAATCCAAACCTATCCGCCTAAGAGACTGACTAATCAGCGCAAGCGTCTTTGGTTTTATTTTAGCATTCAAATGAAATTGAACAGTGGACCCCAGAACTCCAACGCCGATGGCAGCAAGCAGTTCAAATGCTACAAAGGCTATCGAGTGTATAATAGAAATGCAAATGCTAGTGTCTGAATGGATCTAAATGTGAATGCGGTATTATACCTTAGCTGCCAAGATCCGTGGACGTTGACGCTTTCCGAGAGCAGCGCAAAGTTGCCGAATTGCAAGCAGTGCGTGAACAATGCGATGGGTCTCGCCGACCCGAACGTGAAGGACATCATATCGGCGGGCATGTGCTATGATCAGGACACAATGTCACTGAAATACGTCAACTATTTGGCGTATAGACCCAAGTATGATGAAGTTGTAAAGTTAATTTAACTCCACCTTGGCTTTAATTTTTCCGTTGATTTGCTTCAATTTGTGCATTTTCAGCTGAACACTTCGACTTTGAGTAAACATCAATTTCGTATAAGAACCTGAAGTTTCATCCATTTTCCGATTCCGTTTTTGGTCGTTTTCCGGATGCATTCTCCCACTGAAATGTGCACCCGAAGTGTGTATACAGAAAAGTATCAAAAATTGTTGTGAAACGGATACGCTTTCGGCTGTTTTTCTGATTAAATTTTTCGTTGAAAACGACTTCATTCTGAACTTCACAGAAGCTCTTTCCTAGTTACAGAAATCCAAACAAAAAACAAATTTTAGATTCAGCAATTTATTTAAATCAATGTTACCTGAACGATTAATTTCCTTAAACGAGTTTGCGAAAGCAAGCGCTGGGCATAAAAGTAAAATACTGACAAATGTCTCATAAAATTCAGTACTGAGGCATTAATTCGCTTTCGTATGTATGCATGTGTTCTTATACAATCAAAATTAAGGATTGAGTTTCAAATCTTATCAACAAATCTGTATGATTTTAAATGGATTTATTTATACAGTAAATTCCACTTAAAACTCACCATCATGTGCATATATGTATTTATGTTTATTTTGCAAATTTGTTTATAAGTGAAATTGAGCTAGTGTGCGCAATTATAAATACTTGTATTGAAAAGGGCCATTTGTATATTAAACGATATAAAATTTAGAACCTTTTTAAAAAGATCATTCAAGCACTTTAAATATATGCATATTTCAAAAATTTGTTGCTTCTGTAAAAATCACAAATCTTACTTATGTAGGTCCTTTTATAACGATGTTGACGTTGTAGGTGCACGTATACATATGTACATTAGGGTATATCACTCATAATAATAATAATATTTTGGCGCTTACACATTTGCTAAAGGTTTGGCCGAGCTTTTCCTCACTGCATGGAAAAAGAAATGGCACGGTTTATACATCGTAATTATATAAATAATTATATTCTAAGACTTCCGGCAAAATATTTTGGATTTTTTTTTTATAAATAATTAGTTTTTAAAAATATTTTTGGAAAACATCAACTCAGATGATAGGAAATTTTAAAATTAAAAAGTCTGTACAAAAGCGTTTTACAATTTTAAACGGAATCAATTTTTAGAACTATTTTTAAATCGAAATATTTTGGCGGAAGTCTTAATATGCAATAAATTTTTTTACTCCGGTGGAAAAATCGCAACTTTTTTTGGTCAGACACTCTAATGTACATACATATGTACATACGAGTAGATACATATTCTTTTCTCCTTATTGCTTGCATATATAAAAGGTTCAAAATTTTCCTCGACTAACATCAGTCCTAAAAACTTCGAGCGACAATCAAGTGACATCAAATAGCGATGTCACACTTTTTTACGACGGCAGTTTTTATTGCGCTTTTGTCAGGCTGCAGCTTCGCATATTCATGTAGACTCAATATTGGTGGACCCTCGCCCTTATTTACAAAGGATTTTGGATCTAAAACCATAGTCTTCAGAACGCATGGAAGTGAATTGGTATTTGAAAACGGTGAAACTATTCAGGTATACTGTAACAATGGGCTAAGGATAGAGAGGTAGGAGTTTCTTTGGTGTAAGTTTTGTTTTTTATTGTTAATTAATTTCTTAAAAATGTTAGAAACTACTACGCAGATATTTTTCCAACTGATCGAAGAGCAGAGTTCACCTGTGAAAGCATGTCTATTATGTACGAGGGAAATGCTACACCATTTGTAAAAGTTTCCTGCTCACTTGAAGCTGCTTTAAGCTTTTATGAAAGCAACAGGAAACTACCAAAATGTAAATCTTTTATGAGCTATGCACTCGGAGTCAAGCTCCCAGCCATTGGTGATTTCATCAAGGCTGCTATCTGTTATGACCTGGAAAGGCTAACATTGAAATACGTCACCTATATTGCGGACCATAAGAAAATTTCAATATTCAATAAGGTAAGTGAAAGTTGATTTTTTTAAATAAACAATGTGCTATTAATTTTATTTCAAAGTTGAATGCGAACAGTGAATTGATTGTGGATTTGGGTCAAAAGGTCAATAACCCGAACAACTATTTCAATTTCATAAAGTAAGTCATTTTGCCTGCAAACTATATTAACATATACATATACATAAATGCATTCATATTTCCATTACTAAAATTATTTGTTTCATAAGAGTGTGTGCAAAACTAAAAGTTTTTTTCGTAGTCAAAACTCGTTGGAAACCTCGCAAAACCTTGAGAAGTTCCCCTTCAATTCACATGAATTTCACTTCGAGAGCTTATTGCAAGGCCAGCCGCTGAATGAGGAACTCAAAGACTATGCCGACTTATTCAACACAATGTGGTGGCGCCAATTGCGTCAGGAGAACTGGCGCTACTTCCTCGATGCACTGCGCGAACGCACGCTGTCTGCCAAATATCAAGTTTTTATGGGCACCTATGGTAATATCACCATTCCTTCGACGCAACCCAATTGTAGTTCAACCAAAAGCGAAGTGGTGTCCGTACATAATGAGGACATGGTCGTCCAAGCACCTGGCTACATATGGGCCTACTTGAAGTCTCTTATACCCGGGGAATCGGAAGAATTTGTGGTCATCGGACACAATTCCCCCTACGTAAGGCAATTCACTTTAGTTTATTTTCTTTTTTTTCAACTTATTTTTATGTGAGCGTGTGTATACATTTATATTATGTATGTATAACTTTCTTATGAATTATAGGCAAGGAATCCGTCGCACACTGAATTCTGTACAGTCGACATATGCGATAACATTGCTTGGTTAAGGGAAAGCAATTTCGGGAACTTACGCCGACTGCCTTCACTTGGCTATACTTTTTGGTGCCGTCCCGGGGAGGTAGCCAAGGTTATTGATTATTTTCCTCTATATGATGATAATGTTGAATCAACAACCATTAGCAGAATATTACAACCTTTCAATATGGATGTAAATGAAAGGGACTTTGATTTGTTATTCTCATGAATAAACAATGAAAAAATAATACATAATTCATTATATCCAGCGAACTATAAACGCAACATCACATAAGTTAAATAAACCACACTTTTAAATGGCTACTTTAATCTCTGCGGTGTTTTAATAAAATGTTTCGTTTTTAAAATGTTCGATTTGCATTGGAGTAGTTTGAATGGAAGCATGCATATATACATACTAAAGTCCAGCGCAAGTGTATTTGCTGCATTTCGTTCAATAAGTAATCCTTGCATTGTACTCTACTCCCAACACATTGTTACTCTTTTTCCGCATACATACACTACTTGGCGTTGAAAGAGTAAATACTTGACGTATTTGCTATTACTCCACCAAAGTAGGTACTCTACTTTCTCTCATCGCGTACGAGATGCCAAAAGGTAGTAGCAAATCTACTCTCTGTATACTTGTAGTACTGTAAGTACTTGCGTATTAAATTTCAATTCTGGTTGTTAGCCCACTAGTTGATATCGTTTGCGGTGCTGGTCAGTGAAATTGAAAGAGTAAAAATAGAATATGGAAATCGACGATGTAAGGAAATGTTTACGGCCTTATTTATAAAAAATAACGTAGATTTAGACAGTTGTTGAATGTGACATTTTCATAAAACTTTTGTATTCAAGCAGCTTTTTAAATCTATGTATGTACTTAAATTTTTATGAAAGTATTATTTCTCGTCTCTAATTTTCTATAAAACTATTTGCAGTCATTAACCAACAAATAAGTTGTCAAAAAATTGCCAAAAACAACAACTGCTATACGAAATAAAATTATTAGTGGCAAATCAAAATTTTGAAAAGTGCCGATTTTCACATTCGACAGTTGGACATGGTAGCGACGAGATGTACGAGCATTTTTTTCTTAAGAGCTGCATACTGATTTAAGAAATTTTTTATAGAAGAAAATTTATTTTCATGATAAGAGATGACGGAAAATCGTTCCACATTACATCACACTCCTACCCTGTCGGAAACACCAACAACGAAAATGAAAAATTTATTTTCCATTTATTGTGCGTAATTTTATATGAATTTTTAGTTTTTCTTGAGAGCCTTTACAAATAAAAAAAATTTCGAAATACATACGCAGCCATATAACTTGATTTCAAGAGAAGCGAATTTTCATGGGGACGTTCAGAAGGCGCAACAGCTCAGTAACTGGTGCGATTGCACCTTCTGAACGCGTTGTTGCGTACTTCTGATCAACTGAATAGTTGCGTGTTAGATGATCGTAATATTTTTCTGATCATTTGAGACAACATGTTGGTGTGTACCTTTGAGAGTTGAATTTGACAGCTAATGTATGAAGTCGTTCAAAAGACGCATAACGATCACTGATTTTTGTTTAGCAACGGTTGCGCTCAACTGCTGCGCCTTCTGAACCTACCTATTGATAACTTTTTTTTTTGANTGAGTTTTTTTTTAATAAATACCAAAATTAGAGGTGTATGAATGGCGAAAGAAAAACTTTATCCGATTTTTTTAGATCGAAACTAGATTTTTACATATGTACATATGTACATGCATACATAAATATATTTAATATGAAATTGAAATTTTCACATCAATTTGGGCTATTTTCAAACCCATGGTTTCAATTGTACGCATACCGGCCGGGTTTTCCCCACAACTTGGTTTTGCTGCAGTGAAGCGACAGAGCAAGTGACGAGAAAAAATATATGCGGACACTTATATATGTATCTATGCACATACATATGTACTTAGGTATGTATATCATATATATATGTATGCATTTTAGTTGAAAGTACGTTTTGCTCGTCGCTCTCTTCATCGCTCCACTACATTCCTGTCCAAAGTTTTATTCAGATACCACAAATGTATGTTTTCTTCGAAAATACTCAAGTACTACCAGTAGAGTACTCTACTGTCAAATACCTTTTACTCGCAGTAGTTGCGGAAGGCAAAGTAAATACTCTACGCGTCTTGCTATTGATCGGTAGTTTACGTACGCTTGCAGAAACTGGTTTATGCTTACTCACACTTGACCCGAACGATGAGTGTAAAGGAGGGAAAGTATTTGCACGGCGATCGGAAGTCTTGTTAGGCCGTTTAAATGGAATTGCGCAGGAGTTTAGTACATACATATGTATGTACACTGAGAAAATGATAGGGGTAAAACGCATTTAGGCTCTGGGAAGAGTTGTCTATAAAAACAGATTCTTATGGGTTTTTGAATAGTAATTTAAAATTTTCTTATGATAAATAAAGGATCATAGGATAAAGGATGGAGAAAAATCAGCAGGACTTCCTTGGAAAAAAGGCGAAAATATACATACATACAGTGACTTACATAGGTGACCACTTGTTGACTTTTTAAAATTTCACAATGTTTTCCTAGTTAAACTTTTTTTATTTTTCTATAAAAAATATCGTCCAAGCTTTAACCAAATTTTCGTCAAAATTTCAAAGTTTCAAACTTTTTAATTTGAATCTATAGCACATTCTTGGGCATGCAGTTTACAAAAGTAAACTAAGTAGTAAGGATTACTAAAGTAAATAAATAGTAAGGATTAGACATGGATTAGACAAGGATGAGAGGCATGAGCCACTTAACTGTTTTTTTTTTTCTTTGAATTATGTCGTTACTGCAGATGACCATCGATATGTAAGTATGTATATAAATTTAAGATGACAGAGAGAAGAACTTGCGCGCCATTGATCATGCTTCGGTTTCTAATTTTTCTACATATGTATGTATGTATATTCATACAAATATGCGGTATCCTAGTAGCACTATATTCAAAGTACATCCATGTTCCTTGACCGTCACGACTGCTCCATTGTTTTTATTGAAAAATAAGTAAGCAGTGTAATAACGGTTTTAGAAAAAATCATTTCATAGTTGCAACTCAGCACTGAGGGCGATAAAATAGTTCATAAGGGGCACGAGAGTGCAACGATTAGGCGCCAAACGAATATAAAAGGAAAAAGCCAATTTAGTTTTAGTACCCAGCACATGTTTGCTCAGGTACTTTTATTCGTTTAAAATTCTCTCGAATAATATCTTAATCATTGCGATACGATGCTACAAGTACAAAAGTAGATGGTAATTACAAATACAGTTAAAGCTCGATTATCCGAACCTCCATCAACCTGTAACATTTAGATATTGACCGCACCTGGCCTGGGTTCAAGCCCTGGTCAAAGCAACATCGCAAAAGAAATTTAGAAGAAGGGGCAAACTTCCGAGTGTATTTCTGCCATAACAGCTTCTCATAAAAATACAATCGCCGTTCGGAGTCGGCGTAAAAACTGTAGGTCCCTCCGCTTTGTGTGACAACATCAAGGCGCACGCACGCCACAAGTCGGAGGAGAAGCTCAGCCATACACTAACATCTGTGTAAGCGCCAAACTATTATTATTATCTAGATATTAACCGTGACGCTGAATGATTGTTTTATGCTTCTATTATCCGTGATTTAACTCTACATATTATCCGCAATGCATGTGTTCGTTTATTTTTCGTACAGTTCGGGGATATCTTTCTTGCGTAATTAGTAGCATACCAAATTTCGTCTCCATTCATTCGAAGTTAAACTGTATTTTTACTAGCACTAAAGCAAATATCGCAGTGATCCAAAATGGTTACGAAAAGCCGCCGATCACTTAAAGTGTTGGCTGCGAAATTTTTTACCTACATCGGTTGGGTACAAGATCACATTAATAATATTGGAAATCGGAAAGCTAAAGCAAATAGGTCGTCACTACACTCCTCTCTGTTTTGTAGGCCAGTGATGCACCAGGTATTCCTTTACAAAACTTAAGATGTTTTAATAATTCACTGGCAATTTTAACCCGCATTTCCGGGCACTGACTGATTGAGGGTGCTGAAACCATACTGGTCCACAATTCAGGTCGAACTAGATTAATGGCGCTCGAAAGGAATTCGAATAGTTTAAAATCGGAAGCATATAAAAATGTTTCATAGTATGGTCTAAGTAAAAAAGTATGTACGAAGTTATTTTAAAATATAGTGAAAGAGACAGCGAATGATATGTAACGGTATTTCAAAGCTGGAGTGGAGAAATCAGGAAAAATAGTCTCATTGGATTAAAAGATGCCTTAACTTTTAAACACCTTTTTTTGCTATTCTTGCGTCAAGGAATCAATTTCCATATTCACAAGAATGGCAAAATATATTTTGATGTTGTTCCTTACATTTATTGCACGCTGTTTTCAGGTTAAAAAAATTGAAAATGTTTCCGTTGAAGCTCGCTTTTATGGTAACAAAAAAAAACCTTTTTATTCAATCAGACATTTGACAAAGTAATTTTTTGATTTTTTTTTACCTAGAAACAGGATGTAATGAACTTTAAAAAAGTTTGAATGTGTTTTTTGATGCTTGCGACCAGAGAAGCAGGTTCTTTGAAGCAGGAACAAACAAATATCTAAAATAATAAGCATTGGGTATAAAATACAAGTACTGAGTAAATTTAAGGGATACATATCTCTTTGAACACATACATACATATGCATTTATGTATATACATAAGTACATAAATAAACAAATGAGTCTTAGCAAGTACCTATATACACATACTTATGTATATACTCAGCAGGGAAATCATATACTCATGTAAGAAATTTTTGAACAAATACACGTGATTAGGGACATAATAATAATAGTTAATAATAGATTGGCGCTTACCCAATATATTATGGCGTTTCGCTTCTACAAAAAATTGTGCCTTCTCATTGCCCTCTTCTTAGTATTCATGCGTAGAACACAAAGACAAAGTACCGAAAACGGCATTAGGATTTGGCCGAGCTTCTCCTCCGATTTGTGGCGTGCGCCTTGAACCGCGATTGTATTTTTATGGGAAGCTATTTGCATGGCGGAAATACACTCGGAGGTTTGCCACTGCCTGCCGAGGGGCGACCGCTATCAGAAAAACCTTTTTTGTTTTTTATTTGTAGATGTTATGCACACTGAGCAAAATCCATAGTTTTCTATCGGAAAACCCTGTTTATCTGCGGGAGATTCCCAGCAATAATACTCAATTGTTTATTTAACCATTTTTTCATCGCAACTATAAATTATAGGTCCGCCAAAAACCCAAAAAAAACCCCGAAAAATGCAATGGGCGGACCAATAAAACATCGTTAGTTTTAAAAAAAGCGTTGAATAAACAATTGGGTACTATTATTGAAAGTCTCTTGAAGAGAACCAGAGTTTTCCGATCAAAAAATATTGATATTCAAGAATTCCATTTCATTTCTACGAAACGTTTTTTCCCCATATAAAATACATGGTAAATTTTGAGCGCTTTGAGCGACCTCTAAATATTGTTTGATTTTAAAATAAAAATAGGGGTATACTTTTTTCGATACAGAACAATCCTAGGGGATGAGAGCATTACAATTCCGACTTTAATGTTTTTGAACCACCCTAATGCACATACATATGAACATATAATTTGTAAATAAATATTGTACATAAGCAAGAAGCACTGAGCTTACAAATATCAGTAACGAATGAAATTATTATTTATTTATATTCATAAACTCTCGGTATGTGTTTACCTACATTTCTTTAAATCGTTTGCAATCAAAAACTATCGTATGTATTTACACACATATGTAAATGTATGTATATGATAAAAAGTGCCACATAATTGTTCGCATGAATAAAAGGTTCTACATCAAGTCGAATTTAAACCAGTTTCTATTAATTCGTGCAACATTAACAACTAAACTGGAATAGCAATGTTGAATAAGATAATACCTTTTTTGGCGATTCTATCAGGATGTACCTATGTGCATTCATGTACACTCAATATTGGCGGACCCTCGCCCTTATTTACAAAGGATTTTGGATCTAAAACTATAGTTTTCAAAGCACATGGAAACATATTGGTATTTGAAAACGGTGAAACTATTCAGGCTTACTGTGCCAACGGAATAATTGTGGAGAGGTGCGATTTTTACATTTATAAACTAAATAGTGTAAAACATGTTTGAATTCTCAGGGATTACTATGGTAATCTTTCCCCAAAAGAACGTACGGCAACGTTCTTATGTGAAGGGACTTCAATTCGGGTTTCAGGAAGTGTCCAAAGTAATTTAAAAGTTTTTTGCTCACCTGAGCCAACTCTAAGTCTTTACGAAAGCAGCAGAGAATTACAAAAATGTGCATCTTTTATGAGCTATGCACTTGGTGTTAAGCTTCCAGCCGTTGGTGATATCACCAAGGCTGCCGTCTGTTATGACCTGGAAAGGTTAACATTGAAATTCGTCACCTATATTGCGGACCATAAAAAAGTTTTGATAACAAATAAGGTAAGATTAATTTGAATGCATCGGTTTAACAGCGTCTCATTGAACTTATTTCAAAGCTAAAAACTGTGAGCGAATTGCCTGTGAATTTGGCTGAAAAAGTCAATGGCTTGAAAAACTATTTCAATTTCATAGAGTAAGTAATTTTGTCTTTAAACTGAATGCATGCAAATATCTACGTTTATTTACCCAATAAACATTTTGGCAAATGACCTTCGATATCCAATATGAATATCGAACAGAGAGCCAACTCATAACCAACCTTGGTTTTCCAACGTTCATAGTATATTGGAATTACACTGAGATGGGTTCGAAAAAAAAATGGTAACCATAGTAACAAGAGAGAAAGTGAAATCCAGCTCATTCTTGAAGGGAAATATAAGATAATCACTCTCTCTCATTAAAATTATAAATCGATAATGGGCTGGATTTCGAATTCATAACGAAAGAAAAATACATTGGATAACGAAGGTTCCGTTTTGCTGGAGAATGGCCTAGTTCTCGAACCGAATACTAACCTATTTCACATTCGTTATCGAAGGTGAGACTCGAAAAAAAGGTTAGTTTTCGAATCATTTTCGAATTGTTAACCAAGCCGAATGTTTATTGGGTACTGACATATTTACATACATACATTCATATTTTCATATTTTTCTTACTGAAATTTCTAGCGTCATAAGTATTATGTATGTATGTAGGTGTGTTACTGTAATGAGGTAATTAAAAAATTATATATATTTTCGTAGTCAAAAATCGTTGGAAATCTCACAAGAACTTGAGAAGTTCCCCTTCAATTCAAATGAATTTCATTTCTCGAGCTTATTGCAAAGCGAACCACTGAATGATGAACTCAAAGACTATGCCTATCTCTTCAACACAATGTGGTGGCGCCAATTGCGTCAGGAGAACTGGCGCTACTTCCTCGATGCACTGCGCGAACGCACGCTGTCTGCCAAATATCAAGTTTTTATGGGCACCTATGGTAATATCACCATTCCTTCGACGCAACCCAATTGTAGTTCAACCAAAAGCGAAGTGGTGTCCGTACATAATGAGGACATGGTCGTCCAAGCACCTGGCTACATATGGGCCTACTTGAAGTCTCTTATACCCGGGGAATCGGAAGAATTTGTGGTCATCGGACACAATTCCCCCTACGTAAGGCAATTCACTTTAGTTTATTTTCTTTTTTTTCAACTTATTTTTATGTGAGCGTGTGTATACATTTATATTATGTATGTATAACTTTCTTATGAATTATAGGCAAGGAATCCGTCGCACACTGAATTCTGTACAGTCGACATATGCGATAACATTGCTTGGTTAAGGGAAAGCAATTTCGGGAACTTACGCCGACTGCCTTCACTTGGCTATACTTTTTGCTGCCGTCCCGAGGATGTAGCCAAGGTTATTGATTATTTTCCCTTATACGACGATGATGATGATGATATTGAACAACAAGAACCATAAAGACAATATATGAAAATAATTATAAATTTGGAAAACCCTTATGGGTTCCCAACGAATAAAAAAGGAATTAAAACGCATTATATGTCCGTATTTTTTTTAGCTTGAAATCGCTTAGAAAACTGTTAGTATTTATTTTTTTCGTTGAACTGGTGTAAATTAGTAAGCATTAATAAAAGTAGACTGGCGCTTACACGTATGGTAGTGTTTGGCCGATCTTCTCCTCCGATTTGTGTCGTGCGCCTTGATGTTGTCACACAGGGGAGAGGAGGCATCTACAGTTTACGCCGACTCCGAGCGACGATTGCATTTTTACGAGAAGCTGTTTTTCATGGCAGAATACACTCGGAGATTTGCCATTGCCTGCCGATGGCGACCGCTTTTAAAAAAAAAAAAACACTTTTTTATGTTTTATTTGTAGATGTTGGTCGGAAACTGGGCTCGTACTCAAGCCCTGCATAACCACTACACCACAGCAGCCGCCATAGATAAAAATAAATATTTCTGATCGAATAAGAAGATATCTTTCAGAAATCTCAAAAAAATAAAATTATGATAACTTTTACTAACTATTGTTTACATAAACGATAATTAGCAATTTAGGTAGATATTAGGAAGTAAGCTACAAAAAAAAATATAAAAAAATCCATCACTTCAATTTCCCGAAGTAAGTACTTTTTCAGTTTCATTATTCTTGCAGATTTACTAAGTCCTTAGGGGTATTTTCGACTAATAGTGCTGATTTGTTTAAATAAAAACTTAATTTTAAACTAATTTATTTTGGGTTTTTGCATAAAAATTTTTTAAAACTGCTTTTTGCACTTTTCTTAGTGTTATTACGTATTGCTAGAGTGTAATATTATTATTATTATTATTAGTTATTTTATTTGTTCGTTCATCATGCACGAAACAATTCTGAGGTTGGTTGGAAACAATATTTAGCCCACCCTAATGTACATAAGTAAACACGCACAAAAACATATATGGAACATATGTATGTATGTTCATATATAAATTTGCATCGCAGGCGACTCATTTAAACTTTATACAATACAATGTATGCATTGGATAACCAATCTTATGAGATTAGAATAAGCAAGCATCTCAAATTCATAAACATGATATGCCCATCATGAAATTCCCTGCTTGGTATAAACAAATAAATACATATGGATGTTGGTATGTATACAAACCTTCCCCGATAATATTGATACCATCAGCCTGAAGTTCTACATAAAAAAATCACACAAACGTAGGAGTGTGTTGTTGAAAGTAATACGAAAATTATTCAATCTAAGCGAGCAAAAAAGTAATTATTATGTACATAAATGTTATCAAAAGCCCTTAAATAAACTGGAGTTCAAATATCATGCGTTCAATTATATACATACACTAAGGCAATGGACACTTTTGTAGAGCATTCAATTCTGAAGAAACCCCATTATTAACCATGATTGTACCATAAAATGCCTCTGAGCTGTAGACTTTTTAAGAAAAAAACTCAAAGTTTACGTGTATTTTATATGGGAAATTTTGCACGCCTTGGGCGAGTACTTAATGTTAATATTAAGGGTTCAAATTTTCAGGGAGCTTTTTTTTAGGTGTTTTCCACAAAATTTTGAGGTAGGAATGAAAAAAAAACAATAGTCGCAAAAAAAATCGACCTAATATACACACATATGTAAGTTAGATATTTTATCATGCTTATTGACGGAGAAATAAGAACTATCCGTATATCGATATCTGAGATCGATAAGATCGACTTAACTCGGCAGCCAGTTCAAAATCTTAGAAAACTTTTCAAGAAGGCCCAATTTCAGAATTTTATTGAAAAACACCCTATAACAGAATTTGGTTGAAGAACGCCCCATCTCAGCTGTCGATTCAAAAACACCTTATCACGAACGGCGATTTTATTTTTATGACAAGCCGTTTTTCGTGGTAGAATACACTCGGAGGTTTGCCATTGCCTGCCGAGGGGCGACCGCTATTTGAAAACAATTGTTTGAAAGAAAAAAAATTTACATTACTTCTTGGCTCCACCTAACTGAGAAATTAAAATATCTTACACTGGGCCCAGGTACCGATTAAGAAATGTGTAGGTAATCGCCTTTCGCTGAGTCAGGTTTGTCTTCTCCTGTATATTATTTGCCTTCTTGTGGTAAATATAATATGGGTATTCATAGAAACACGTAAATGCTTCGTAACAGCGTAAACCTCGTAAATAAAACGTTGTTCCATACAAAATTAAGTAAGTTTACGAAGTTTACTTGGTTACGAGGTATTTACGCGTTTAGATGAATTGCCCTAAGTAATAATTTTCCATTGTTTCGAAAAAGAATATGTATCTAGTATTATTTATAATAAACTGTTGTAGTCAAGAAATTATGATAGGAAAAAGTCTCAACATAAAAATTTGGACAAGATGCCGTTCAACTGGAAAGATATATATCGTCACCTGAAACGCAAAACGACGGTAGAAACATGGTAAATGAAATGGAAAAGTCGCGACTAATAATTTAATTTTTTTTTTTTATAAAATGATGTGGGATTCATCAATGAAAAGGTGAATTTTGAATTTTTTATTAGTTATAACTTTTTGCATTTCCGCGATGATGTTTGTTACGTCTTTTTGTATTTCAGGTGACGATATGAAAGTTTCGGATTTCCTTCGAAAACGTCTTCCATTAAAAGAGACAATAATAGAAATTAAATATTATAAGAGCCACCTTAATATGCATCTGCCATTCTACTTTGTTGTATGTATCACATCAAATAAACAAAGGCGGTGCCCTTTTACTGATGGTCCTAACTNACATATCACATCAAATAAACAAAGGCGGTGCCCTTTTACTGATGGTCCTAACTATATGTAATGCCGCTTTTAACTACAAAATGCAAGCTCAGCTCTATACGTATAGATTTGTGTGTTAGTACACAATCACATTTATATTGCGATTGCATATATGTATGTAGTTCAGAATTAAGTGATAGCCGATTGATTAATATAAAATGTCCAGCAACAGGCTCATCATTTTCAGTTTCGCTAACTTCCGAGCCGCGCGCAGTGTCAGCAATATGTTTAAAATAAATTTTCAAATATTTGTGCTGAGTTGTTTGTGTTTGAGCTTCTCGTACTGCTGTCAATTAATAGTACGACGTCCATATCCACTGCTGATCAAAAATTTTGGTTCGAAAAATATTACCTTTCGTGCCAGTGGAAAGGGAGTTACTCTTAACAAAGGAGAATCCGTGGAAGTGTATTGCGGCAGCGGGTTAAATATAGAGAATTCGTGAGTTTTTATGAACTAATTTCGAAGAAAGCTAAGAGATCGTCTGTGGCGATAATAAGTAATTTTTCTGTTTATTTCTTATAAGCAATGGCTACACACAACTACCAAACAATCAATACCAGACGGCATTATTGTTTTGTGATGAAAATAATTATATAAGAGCGCGGGGAATATATGAAAACAGACACGAGAGCGAAGTTCTACGTATATATTGTTCATCGTCATCTAGTGAAAGCTTATATGAAAGCAAAAGGAAGTTGGGCAACTGCGAGGGATCTATGAGCTATGTAATTGGCGAAAAAATTCCGTTTTTAGGAACAATTAAGAAACTGGCAATGTGCTACGATATAGACAACTTTGCATTGAAATATGCAAATTACATTGCTTACCAAAAAAAAGACATTTTAATTTCTTACGAGGTAAGTTACTTTAGAACTAAGCGTATACTACATATGCAATGGTGCTATTTTAATGCAACTGACTGTGCGTTTTAAACTAACTCCTAAGCTATACTTATTTTTACACTTTAGGATAACTTTGATAATGATCTGGAAGTGGACCTCGAACAAAAGGTAGACAATCTGGAAAACTATTTCGATTTCATGAGGTGATTGTTCTAAGCTTTAAGTTGTGCAAAATATACTCATTCTTAATCGCTGGAAATAAGATTTCTCGCTTAAAAAATAATATACCGACGGATGTGTGGAAGATCGCCCTATCTTGGCTGCCGATTCGAAAACGCCCTACCTAAGCAAACCGTTGAAAAACGTCCTATTTCAGAATTTGGTTGAATAACGCCCCATCTTAGCTGGCGATATATTGAATTTATATTGAGATAGGACGTTTTCGAAGCGTCATTAAAGATAGGGCGTTTCTGAACGAAATTCTGAGATAAAGCGTTCTATAGAAAATTCCCGAAATAGGGCGTTTTTCAACGGTTTGCTGAGATAGGGCGTTTTCGAATCGACACCCGCTATAGGGCGATCTTCCATTCAGCTGACGATCTGTATTTTCCCATATTGTTATTAATTTTTTTCTTGCCTACAGTCAAGACTCTTTTACTAGCTCAAGAGATCGGCAGCAAAACGTCTTCTTCAATGCTTTCAAATTCGATTATGACTTGATCATTCAAGACGAACAGCTGAATAAGAAGTTCGACAGCTGGAACTACATGTTGAACACTATGTGGTGGAGTAAGTTACGTCAAAATAACTGGCGTTTCTTCCTCGACGCCTTAGAGGAACGCACAAATTCGGTAAAATATAGAGTGTATGTGGGCACATACGGAAACGCAACTTTGCCAGCAACAGAAAGCTCCAATGGCCAGCCGGAGGCAGTGGCCGTGCAAACCGATGGGTTAGCAGTTACGGCGCCATTGTACATCTGGGCATATTTGAAATCGCTTTCACCCGGAAACGACGAGGATTTCGTGGTCTTAGCGCACAATTCACCCTACGTAATTGAATGGGTTTTTTTACGCAAAAGTATGTATGTAAATTCTAACTTTTCTCTGTTCTACTTCCAGAGTCAATCTCCTGACCACACTGAGTTTTGTGCCAGCGATTTCTGCGATGATATACAATGGCTAAACGACAGCAGATTCGGACGCCTTCGGCGCATACCCACTTTTGGATACACATTCTGTTGCCGTGCGGAGGAGGTGGCGAAAGTGATCGATTACTTTCCTGTGGCTACGCTAGCTATCGAAACGTCTACCGCAGCTGCTGCAGCGGCTACATCTCAATGACTATTTTTTATACTTTTTTAATATTTGGACACCATAAGCCTTAAATAAAATTGTGGATGATCTAGACTTGAATAAAAACAATAAATAGTGTAAAAATAGGTAAAAATATGGGACAAAAAATAGATTCTTTGCTGTAAAAGGCTTTTTCAATGTTTCAATTCTGCTGTGACTACATAGAAAGGAATGCATTTTCTATAGCACTAAAGCCATATCGATATAATATTTATTCAAACTAGAGAGGGTTTCACAATATTTTGGCTTCTTACGGAGATCGATCGGGTCTAATGTGCATACATATGAACACAGATAGTCAATATTTAACTCATTTACATTGTTGCTTATCAGCTTTCGTATATTCACAATTTAAATTTTTATAGAGGAGCCAAAGTCTGATGGCAAAAGAATTTCACTTAATCGAAATCACAATGAATGTGTATATATTAGGGAGTTCCAGATAGTTATTATTGTTTTCAAAATTCGATAACGTACATATGTATACACATACATATATAATTACATATCGACAGCTGAGTGGAAGATCGACCTATCTCAGCAGCCGGTAAGAAAACGCCGTATCTAACAAAATGGCTCCAAAACGCCCTACTTCAGAAGCAGCAGCCTCCTCTTCAACTCGAGCTACGAAACCACTGAGCTCTCCTACGGCAGAAACAAAGCACATAATAGGTGCAAGCACACACACCAACGCTAAGCCATTAAAGACACTGGTACGGGAAATCCGAAGTTTAGTTTTTTTTTTCACAAAAGTGGAACGAACCGAAAGGCCACAAGCGCCGACCCCGAGGATTCTGCGAACTACATTCCGCTAAAAGCGTCGTTTGAAATTTTTGCGGATGGACACAGAGCACACCACTTAAAAGTCATTCTCCTGGTCCGATGTACCGATTACGCCGTTATAAAAAAAAAATCTGAAACGCGGCAGATCAGAGTGGCCTATCTTATGTATTGTGGGTCGCTGAATCCGAATCCGAGGTCAGTATTTAAAAGTTAGCATATTTAAAACAAAAAATTCAACAAGCTCCCATAAATATTTCGATCTTTTTAACTAGATTTCTTAGAAAGATTTTGAGTACGCAGTTTAATAGCGTATTCACTTTAAGTACAATAAAATGCAAGTCTGAAGTTGCTGGGACTTNTTTTTTCTGAACGTTCCGAGAACGAAGAATGACACTGAAGATGGCACAATGCCGAAACCGGTTTGTCTCCAAACCAAATTTGACACGGGATAACGGAAAACCGTTCCACAATACATTACATTCATTTACTTTGGTCAAAGTGGGATTGTTTAAAGTTGTAAGTGTACGGGTAAAGTTCCAGGAACACAATTGAAAGATATCGTATGATTTTTCACGTAAATGGTCAACCTACATACGTAAACACTTACTCAAAATCGTTGAAATTGTTTATAATAGAAATTGTTTATACCGTATCGGAAAATCAACTACCGCGGCCGCTGCACAGTGGGGTCGAAATCAAAAAGTGCGGCTAAAATTCAAACCTTTAAAGAAAATATTCGAAATTTCATAATAGGAATGGGGGAGGGGAGCGGGGGGGGGGGGGGGGGG